GTTTCATTTGAGTGTATATTATATATATTCACTGACTGTTTTAAGATTATCTTTTAATTCATTTTTTTTCCTCAAAATATGACTGGGAACTACCTGTGTCACAACCAGTCATGGTGCTTGTTAAAAGTGCAGAGTTTTTAGTTTCTCTCCAGAGCTATGAATAAGCAATTCTGAAGATGGGGTTCAGGGACCATTTTATTTTATATTTTGTTTTGTTTTATTTATTTTTGAGTCTGTCTTTTAACTTTGAGATAGGTCTTACTCTGTTGCCTAGGCTGGAGTGCAGTGGCGCTACAATAACTCACTACAGCCTTGAACTGGGCTCAATTGATCCTCCCTCCTCAGCCTCCCAAGTAGCTATAAATCTTTTAAACAAACAAAAAAGACCAGTTGTTTGGAAGTAACTTATCCTGATTTATCAAAACTGTAGGCATGAAGAACCCTAAGAAGTGCCATTTAAGGCATTAGAAATAATTCCACATAGAAATTCATGCTTCATTTTAGTGGTGAGTCATTCCATAAACATCCAGTGCTTGAACTGGGAGGAAGTGAGAGATAGTAATGTGCTCTTTTCGGTGACTTAAAAACTGTTCTCTGCTGAAGAATGCTTGGGTTTAACGCTTGCCATCTTTTTTCCTATGAAGGGGGGTGAAGTGGATGTTGAGAAATGCACTCAAATTCCCCTTCAGCACTGAGGGACTTAATTCCCCCATTGGTTGCCCTCTGATGAAGAAGGCCACTTTGCCAAGGTCATGACCCCTTCCTGAGGTAGCCTGCATCCAATGACAGGTTGATATCTGGTGTAAAGACCCAACCACCCGTCCCAACTCAGAACAACGTCACAGAACTAGTCCAGCCTCAGAACTGCCTGTGAGTCAGCTGAGGGCTTTCTTGAGATGGCATCTCTGCCCAGTTTCTCACTCTGCCCAGTTTCTCACTCTGCCCAATCCTGCTTCATTTCCTTATCCCATAGTTATCAATCACTCCCAGACAAACTTCCTGCGTGCTAACCTCTGACTCCAAGGCTGTTTCCCATGGCATCCATCCTGCAATATGGGGTATCGAGAAGGCATATTTTCATAGTTGTAGGGTGGAAGTCACAATTAGTGTACACAGTGGGTTTAAATACTGATAAGCATAGTAACGATTCCCAGTTGTAGAATATTAAAGAGACCCTAGAGATTCAGGAGTTATTTAGATCAGTAGTTCTTAAACTTGTACCAAGATATGTACCAGAATGTCTTCAACAGAGTGTTTTTTTTTTTTTTTAAGTTTTTAAAATATGATTTCCTCAGCTTTACTCCAGACTTTCTGAAGCATGATCTTTAAGGGTGGGACCCAAGATTAAAAAAAGAATTTGCGGCAGGTGTGGTGGCTCACACCTGTAATCCTGGCACTTTGGGAGGCTGAGGTGGGTGGATCACTTGAGGTCAGGAGTTTGAGACCAGCCTGCCCAACATAGTGAAACCTTGTCTCTACTAAAAATACAAAAATTACCTGGGGGTAGTGACGCAAGCCTGTAATCCCAGCTACTGGGGTGGCTGAGGCACAGAGAATTGCTTGAACCTGGGAGATGGAGGTTGCATTGAGCCGAGATTATACCACTGCACTCCAGGCTGGGTGACAGAATGAGACCCTGTCTCAAAATAATAATAATAATAATATAATTTCTTGGTGATTTTGGTGAAAACAGTCTATAGATCAGCACTTTAAAAATGATTGGCCAGGAATAAAAAGTTTATAAGTGAGAAAAAATTACAACCCCAAGTGCCTAAGCCCTTATTTTTGCTACATGTATTTTTAATGACTGAAGATTAGGGTCCTACTGAACACGGAGACACGTAAAAAGTGCTGGGTAAATGGAATGAATGAGAGAACAAACCTGCCATCCTCATACAGTTTAATTATTGCCTCTCTTGTGGAGGTGGTCATGTCTAATAACCCATGGAACATTTAGACAAACATTAGCCGACTCCATGACCAATATAGGAAAAAACTTATACTAAAGCTGCTCCTGCAATGCACAGATTGCCTTAGGAAGTACTAGTGAGTTTTCCATCATTAAAGGCCATTCAAGCAGAACATGGATGGCCTGTTGTTCCTTCAGCAGGGATTTCTGCACAGGGAAAGAAGATTAGATTGTCTAGAAGAGTCTATGATGCAAAAGACAGATAGGGAATCTATATCATCAGAGAGGAGAGAGGACAATTTCAGTGGGAATGCTTAAGTAAGGCTTGAAAGCATTTAGCTATGATTTTTAGTACATCAATCTTGGAAGAGAGTATGTATGACCTTTGCTGGGCTTATAGAGAAAAAGGAATGAGTGCTGTGATAGTTCTTCAAAAAAAATTAACACTGGTTAATCTTACATGGAAGGGATACTATAGGAAGGCTCTGTGTGTGTGTGTGTGTGTGTGAGATACAGTATGAGTGGTCTCTTTCCCACCCCCTACCCAGGACAGTTCACATAGTCAAATTCCACTGGGACTCTAATTGAGAGAGCAAAGCTGTTTTTCTTAATGAAATTCAAGTTTTTCCCCCAGAGATGAGCTCAGAACAAAAATGGGATTATGTTGTCTTATAGAACAACTCAATACAGGTCACAGTGGGGTAAGTTTCACATACTTAATTGAATCTTTTTGTGAATGGCTTTCCTTAATGAATTTTTAATAGAAGATACAGTGTTTTCATTTAGTAGCAACAAAAAGAATTGCTTCATAAACATTTTAATAGAGAATTTATATATTGAAAGCTGTAATGCTTACTCAAGAGGTTATACCAGTTTATTCCCTAAAAGCAGATGGCATCAGTATGTGGCCTCCAGGTATTGTCCTTAAAGTCTCCAGTGTTCAAGTTGTGTGAATGGACAGAGGAGCTTGTCAAAATTCCTTTTTGAAAAGAATCCATTTGGGGAAGAAGTACATTATCAGGGTAATTTTTGAAGGCAAATATTCAATCATTTTGATTTAAACTTGGTGATCAGGAAACAAAGCATGCTGTAGTAGAATAATGAAACGATATTTCTGGAATTGGTGTTATTACCTTTAACAAGTTGTGTGATCGTTAATCTCTTTTCTCTCTGAATACTGAAATCTTCTTGATATAGTTTGGCTCTGTCCCCACCCAAATCTCATCTTGAATTGGAATCCCCCACTGTTCAGGGAGGAGGTTATTGGATGGGGGGTGGTTTCCCGCATGCTGTTCTTGTGATAGTGAGTGAGTGCTCATGAGATCTGATGGTTTTATAAGGATCTGGCATTTCCCCTGCTTGCACTTCTCTCTCCTGCTGCCATGTGAAGAAGATCTTTGTTTCCCCTTTGCCTTCTGCCATAATTGTAAGTTTCCTGAGGCCTCCCCAGCCATGCGAGACTGTGAGTCAATTAAAACTCCTTTGTTTATAAATTACACAGCCTTGGGTAGTATCTTTATAGAAATGTGAGACGGGACTTATACATTCTGCATCTGTGAAATATTAGGATAGCTAATCTTTAGGGGCACTTTCAGTTGTAAAATAGAACCTGATATTACCTGAGAATTTAGTTTAGGACTCATCAGCAAACCTACTTTCCTGGTTCTACTTATTACATGTAGATGAAAATCCATGAATCCATGCTCTTAACTACCTGTGCAAATGATGAAATCTCTATCATAGAGTTACTCTGAACATTAAAATGAAAAATGAGATAATATATTTAGAGTAATTAGCACAGTGCCTAGGTATAGCATAGAAAATGTGTAATAAATGTTCCCCCCAATCTCTTTATTGTTTAGTTCTATAACCTCAGTGACAATGAACCTAGGTGCTTTCTAGGCATAAACACTTAATATTCCAAATTAAACATTTCAGGTTTTTTTTGGTGGTTATGACTGTAGTAAAATTAAAGCTAAAGTCCCTATTCTTCAAGGCTTTATTTGAAATTTAGTGGAACTTCTCTTATGGATAAATTGTATTGGTATTTATATTCAAATATGAAATGTTTTTCGTTAAATTTTTTTCACTGTAAAACTAACTTAAGGCCAGGTGCAGTGGCTCACACCTATAATGCCAGCAGTTTGGGATGCCAAAGCAGGAGGATTGCTGGAGCCCAGGAGTTCAAGGCTGGCCTAGGCAACGTAGCAAGATCATGTCTCTACAAAAAAATACAAAAATTAGCTGGGCATGGTAGTGTGTGCTTGTAGTCCCAGCTCCTTGGGAGGCTGAGGTGGGAAGATTGCTTGAGCCACAGAGGTTGAGGCTGCAGTGAGCCATGATTGCATTACTGTACTCTAGCCTGGGCAATCGCATTACCTTACTCTAGAGAAAGACCCTGTATCAAAAAACAAAAACAGAAACAAAAAAGCCTAACTTATATGTATAAAATAAAACTAGGAAGTAGGAAAAAATTTTTCCTCCCAAATATAATGGCCATTAATGTTAACATTTTAGTATATTTCTTTAACATTTATTTCATATTTAGGTTTTTTAAAACTTTGATTATACCATATGGTAGATATAATTATTTAAAATTCTGTTTTTATCAACTAATAGTATAAGCACATCTCACATAATTTGGTATATTTACATACATTTTAATAGATGCAAACATTTTAACAATTGCTCTAAATGCTTATTTGTTTTTCTTTTCTTTTTTTTTTTTTTTTTTTTGAGACGGAGTCTGGCTCTGTCGCCCGGGCTAGAGTGCAGTGGCCGGATCTCAGCTCACTGCAAGCTCCGCCCCCCGGGTTTACGCCATTCTCCTGCCTCAGCCTCCCGAGTAGCTGGGACTACAGGCGCCCACCGCCTCGCCCGGCTAGTTTTTTTTTGTATTTTTTAGTAGAGACGGGGTTTCACCGTGTTCGCCAGGATGGTCTCGATCTCCTGACCTAGTGATCCGCCCGTCTCGGCCTCCCAAAGTGCTGGGATTACAGGCTTGAGCCACCGCGCCCGGCCGCTTATTTGTTTTTCAAATGACTTTTTTGGAATTTTCTACAGTTATATTGTCCCCAAATATAGATTTTACCTTTTAATAACTTAATGTTCTCCAGAATTGTCAGTGGTTTGGTGTCGTTGAATCAAGGCTTCACAGGGTGGCAGTCAGAGATAACACAGGAGAGATAAAGTGGATCTTGATCACGAAGTCCCCTGAATGTTATGCTAATATTTTTGGGCTTTATTCTGTAGAAATGAAGAGATGCGAACAATGAAATTAAATTCTTACCTTACTTCATACACAATATCAATTCCATATGGATTAGGAATTAAATGTGAAAGGCAAAAATGTAATACAATTAGAAGAAAAGAGGACTACCTTTATGACTTAAGCATATGGAATAATTTATAAAACAAACATAAAAGACATAATCCATAGATTTTCACTAACAAATATTTATTGAATGCCTACTAAACCAGACACTATTCTATGTACTTTTGATGTATCAGGGGACTAAACAGAAAAGACAAAAATCTCTCCCCTCATGTAATTTTCTATTCTTAGGCTTTATAAAAAATAAACATAATATGTAATAAATTATATAGTATATAAGAAGAAGATGAAGCCAGATGTGGTGGCTCATACCTGTAACCCCAGTACTTTGGCAGCCTGGGGTGGGCTGATCACTGGAGCTCAGGAGTTTAAGACCAGCCTGGGCAACATGGCAAAACCCTGTCTCTATGAAAAATACACAAATTAGCTGGGCATAGTGGCATGTGCCTGTAATCCTAGCTACTTGGGAGGTTGAGATAGGAGGATGGCTTGAGCCTGAAAGATCAAGGCTGCAATGAGCCATGACCATACCACTGCTCTCCCGCCTGGGCAACAGAGCAAGATCCTGTCTCAGTCAATCAATCCAATTAAAATGAGAAGGAATCTTAGATCTTCCAGGGCCTCACAAGTGTGTTCAGGAGCTGAGGGCATCACTTCCAGCTCTGGTGTTTTGGACCCTTTCCACAGCTTACTCAGGTGTGATGTATCCAGCTGGCAATCTGTTAGTTTAATGAGGTCGAGTTGCACTATATTTCACCTGTGGAAGGTATCCAAGTCACATGGTGGCAAATCTGTCTGCAGCAACCTCAACTCTTGCCTCCTCAGAAGAAAGAATTCAACTTCTCCTGGATATCTCTCCAAAACTCAGTCCTGGTTGTCTTCATTTTTCTATCAGTTTCCTTGTTTTAGTGCTCTGACTCCCGTTCCCTGGATGTAAGTACTATCTATATGTTGATGGTTTCCACATTTGGTTTCTGGCCCAGAACTTCAGGTTTATATATCCAACTGCCTACATGACAACTTCACATGGATGTACTATAAACATCTTAAACATCAAATATTCAAAACTCATTTCTCCCATCACACCTACCTCAACCAGTCTTCCTCTATTCAATTGATGCCAATTCCATTCTACCAGTTACTCATAATTTGATTTCCTGTTGCAACCTGACTCCATCTCATGTAATTTTCCTCATCATGTTCCAGCTTCACTGGGCTGCTTTTTGTACTTCTTAACTCTCAGACAGATTCCCACTGAACAACCTTGGCACTGGTTGTTCCCACTGCTTGGAATATTCGTCCCTCAGATATCCATATGGTGACCTCCCTCACTGTTTTCAAGTCTTTGCTTAAATGCAATTATCTCAATGAAGTCCTCTCTTACCATACAGTGGAACTTCACAGCCATTGATCATTATTGCCTAGGTATTTTATTGTGTGTTTTTAAAAAATTTTTTTTAGAGATGGGTTTTTGTCATGTTGTCCAGGCTGGCCTCAAACTCCTGGGCTCACGTGATTCTCCCGCCTCAGCCTCCTAAAGTGCTGGGATTACTGGCATGAGCCACAGCACCCGGCCTAGTGATTTTTTTTTCCCTTTGTTTTAGAGCAGGAGTGGAAGTTTATTAAGAAGCTTTAGAACAGTAAGGAAAGAAAAGGAAAGAAGGAAAGTACACGTGGAAGAGAGTCAAGTGGGTGACTTTAGAAACCAAGCGTGCGGCTTGACCTTTTGACTGGGGGTTTTATACGCCGGCATACTTCCGGGATCTTGCGTTCCTCCTCTCCACTCCTGAGATCTTACTGGGAAGCTGCTGATCAGTTTCAGGTGTTTCCTATCTACATCTATTAGTAGACGGACTTTCTCTGGCACTGGCTGTGACCAATTATTACTTTACAGAGAGAGTTAACAACTGCCTGACCATCACCTGATGGTCACCCAGCACTCCTGGTGCGCGGGTGCGTGTACGCGCATGCGTATGCGTGTGCGCGCATGCGTGTGCGCCCTCTCCTGGCCTGCTCATACCTGACTAGCTATCCGCTGCACCATTTCCACCCTCGGGATTCCAAGACCCCAAATCTTTGGGGGAAAATGGGCCAAGGTCAGTCTTCTATAACTGCTTTCTGTTGACAGACGGGTGCTGGTGGTGGTTCTGTGGCTTTTGTCCTCTTGCTAGCTGTCAGGGCACCGTTGGTTCTGTGAGTTGGTGAAAGCAGTATTCATCCAGGTTCAAGGGAGACGGGGCAGAATTTCGCCTCTGTCGTGTCCCACTGAGAGGCAATCTAGAGGCCCCCTGTAGGCAGGTGACTCTTGAATATTGAGAGGACGGTATTCCTCACTGAGGACCATCTGGAGCTTGATGGGCGCAACTTTGAGGTGAACAGACATTACTTTCTGCTTAAAGAGGAACCTCAGATCTTCCAGGGCCTCACAAATGTGTTCAGGAGCTGAGGGCGTCACTTCCAGTACTGGTGTTTTGGACCCTTTCCACAGCTTACTCAGGTGTGATGTATCCAGCTGGCAATCTCTGGTAGTTTAATGACATTGAGTTGCACTAAATATTTTACCTGTGGAAGGTATCCAAGTCACATGGTGGCAAATCGGTCTGCAGCAACCTCAATTCTTGCCTCCTCAGAAGAAAGAATTCAGCTGAGGATCATAGGCAGAAAAAGAGACAGAGGCAAGTTTCAGAGCAGAAGTGGAAGTTTATTAAAAAGCTTTAGAACAGTAAGAAAAGGAAAGGAAGAAAAGGAAACGTGGCAGAGGGCCAAGCAGGTGCCTTGAGAAACCGTGTGTGCCCCTGGTGATATTTTAATTCTATAAATTATTTCTTGCTTATTAGCTAGAATATTTTTATAAAAATGAATGGCCCTTCATCAATTACTTGATTATCCTGAGGTATAATTTTTACAGCAAAGGTGGGATGAATACTTGATTCTTTTATGAGAAAGACTATTAACTATTGATTGAATATTTTTAATGATTATAAGATCATTCAGCCTTTCAACTCCCTTCAGAGTTATACTCTGATTTGTGACACATTTTCTTTTTCTTTTAATTTTAACCCCATAACCTGGTTACTATAATAATTTTAATAATTATATTTTATATTATTAAAATAGTTTTAATGTTGCACCTTCCTTACATTGGAGGTATTTCTCTTATAATCAGTAAAGGGCTGTTTTTGGCTTTTAACAGAATAATCAATTCCATATGTCTTTATTGTAATTACTGATATATTTGTATTCATTTCTATCATCTAATTTTGGGTTTTTAATATAGCCTGCTTTATTTCTCTGTTTTCTTCACTATTTTTGCCTACTTTTGGATTAACCTCTTTTTCTTTATTATTTCCCCCTCTATTAATAAAGATATTATACATATTCTTGTACTCTTTTTGTAGTTACCCTTCTGCTGAACATTACAAAGACACAGAATGCTTAAATTATGATCAACCTGCTTACAAATGAGTCTAGCATTTGTATTTCACTTCTTAAGAACTAAGATTTTAATATTAGTTTTCTTAAGAAGTAAAATATTAATATTTCAATCCCCAAATTAGATATTATTGCTATTGATTTATATGTGCTTTTTCAGATTCATCTCATGTTTACCATTTTCTTTGATTGCTAGCATATTTTGCATCTCAGACCTCCCTTAAATGCTGTTTTCTTTTTCATGAAGTTCGCATTTTAGACATTCCTCTAGTCATATCTGTTGATAATAAGCCCTTTGAGTTTCTGTTCTTTTGTAAATGCCCTTATTTCAACTTAATTTTGGAAAGATAGTGTTAATGGAAAATATAGTTTTACCTGAAAGTTTCTCTCTTGGCATTTTGAAGATATTTCACTATTCTTTTAGCTTCTGTTGTTGCTCTTGAGAGATTAGTCCTCAGTATGTTGTCCTATTGTAGGTAATATGATTTTTTTTCTCCTCTCTGGTGGCCTGTAAAATCTTCTTTGTCTTGGAGTTTTACAAATTCACAACATGTGTTATAGTGTGAATTTCTTCCTTTATTTACCTTCTTTGGATTTGTCGTCTCTTGATTCTGAGGACTTATAATATCCTTAAAAAAATTCTGGGAAATCATTAGCTTTTACGTTATTTAAATATTGTTTTCCCCTTTCTAATCTCTCTTGAAATTGTAATTATTAAATTCTTTGATTTTTCATCTCATGGTTTCTCTGTGATGTCTCTGTACATTTTCTTACTCTATTTTCTCTCTATTCTTCCTGTTTCTTAATCATCTTTTCTTTTTCATATTTTCCATCTGAGAAATTTCTAAATAATTTCTTCAAAAATATTTCCCAGCTCTCTAATTCTCCCTTCAGATTTATTTATCTATTTAACCTGACATTAAATTTCTAATTTCAATTGTATTTTCATTTGTAGAAGTTCTATTTGGTTCTGTCTTCAAGTCTGCATGATCAATTTTGATAGTCTCTTCTGCCTTAATTTATACATTCGTATAATTTTTTATGTATTTTTCTGTCTCTGGTTATTCAAAAATATGTAATTGCTGCATATATGATCCTACATCTTCTTGATTCTGCTGATTTTGAGTCATGATTGCTTGTTTTTCCATTGTGTTGTTTATTGTTGAGCTCCTAACCTTGAAATTTTATTTTTGGAAATTATTTGAGAGGTGAGTTTAAATGTGTTTCTCCAGAGATAATATGTGTTTGCTTTTGCTTTTGCCAGGTGCCTGGGGGGCACTACTGATCTAGGACTATTTTAAACTTACTTTCAGTTTGGAATTTTTCCAATGGCAGAGGCAATAGAAATTCTATTCTTGGTCCCATACAAGGGAAGGCCTGTAATTATAAGATCTTAGGAGAGAATTTTTATCCCTCTTCTCCCAGAGTCAAGGCTATGGCAGTAAACTTATTGTATCTTCCTATAAGGCTTTGCACCTAATTCACTCACTTATGCCTTTAGGCAGGATTATATGATCTGATTCTCCACTTTGTAAAAAATTTAAAAAAAAAAAAAAATTCAGGCGTTGTCCTTTTCCCCTTGTGTGTAAGTTCCATTAAAACCCAATTTCCAGGCAACCAGGGATCAATCCAGCTGGGTTCCTAATTTCATTTTTTTGAATTTCAAATTCCCACTTTCAAATTTTGGTCTCTTAGAATCTATTTTTGTTCTGCCACCTTACTCATATGTTTTAAAAGTTGTTTTTGCTGAAACCATAAAGATTCTACATTGGCTTAGGCAAAGACTTCATAACCAATAACCCAAAAGCAAATGCAACAAAAACAAAGATAAATAGATGGGATTTAAGTAAACTAAAAATCTTCTGCACAGCAAAAGAAACAATCAGCAGAGTTAACAGACAACCCACAGAGTGGGAGAAAATCTTCACAATCTCTACATCCAACAAAGGACTAATATTCATAAGCTACAAAAAACTCAAATCAGCAAGGAATAAAAGACAATCCCATCAAAAAGTGGGCTACGGACATGAACAGGTAATTCTCAAAAGATGATGTACAAATGGTCAACGAGCATATGGAAAAATGCTGAACATCACTAATGATCGAGGAGATGCAAATCAAAACGACAATGTGATGCCATGTCACTCCTGCACGAATGGCTGTAATAAAAAAATAATAGATGTTGGTGTGGATGTGGTCAAAAGGGAACACTTCTACACTACTGGTGGGAATGTAAACTAGTACAACCACTATGGAAAACAACCTGCCCAAATGCCCATCAATCAATGAGTAAAGAAAATGTGAGATAGATAGATAGATAGATACTACTCAACCATAAAAAGGAATGAAACAATGACATTCACAACAACCTGGATGGAATTGGAGACTCATTCTGAGTGAAGTAACTCAGGAATGGAAAACCAAACATTGTATTTTCTCACTCATAGGTGGGAGCTAAGCTATGAGGATGCAAAGGCGTAAGAATGATACATTGGACTTTGGGGACTTGGGAGAAAGAATTAGGGGTGGTGAGGGATAAAAGACTACACATTGGGTATAGTGTACACAGCTTGGATGATGGGTGAACCAAAATCTCCAAAATCACCACTAAAGAACTTATTCATGTAATCAAATACCACCTGTTCCCCAAAAACCTATCAAAATAAAAAAAATTTTAAAAACGCATGCTTCAAATTTTTAAAAAAGTTGTTTTTGTATTTTATCTAGATAAACCTGGTATGGAAGAAATAAAAAATCTAAATAGATGAGAAACCATGGAAGAAATGTAATATTTTAAAGAACTATCTTAAAAAATGAATTCTAGATTCAGAAGATTTTGAGTGAGTACTAGAAAATTGTTATGAAACAGATACTCTTCATGTTCTATAAAATTTTCCAGAGCATAGGAAAAGAATATCCTAACACAAAACCCAGTGAAGATGTTCCAATAAAATTTCTGGGTCAATTTCCTTTGTGCATATTGACTTTGAAATCTTGAACAAAATTCTGTCAAGCAATATGTTAAAAAATAAATACAACATCAGGCTGGGTGCGGTAGTATACCTATAGTCCCAACTGCTCAGGAGGCTGAGGTGAGAGGATCACTTGAGCCCAGGAATTTGAATTCAGCCTGATCAACATAGTGACAGCCCATCTATTAAAACAAACGACATCTTTAAACAGGATTTATTTCAGGAACATAATCAGGGAATCTAACATTATAGTACAACATGTTAATAAAAATCTATATTATCTCAATAATTCCAGAAAAGGTATTGAGAATATTCAGCACACATTTAGCATAATTGTTTAGTTCCCGGGAGTAGAAACACTCACAGCATAATTAAATGTACTTATTTTGAAATCAATAATTAATGTATTACTTCATGGTAAGATATGGTTTAGAACTAAAGAAAAATGTCAAATTGGTGATTTCATTTAAGAATCATAATTTTTGTAGCTCAAAATGGGAAAAAATGGAATCACTAAATGAGAGGAAGGTTGTAGTTGGAAGGGAAA